CACTATGTAACCAAGTCCTGTTATAGTCTAAAACCAGAGCAACAAAACCAGAACCTGAAATTGGTATGTTTATCCTGGTTAAACAATGACAGGTTATTGACTACATCTATGTTCACATTTAAAGGCCTTAGGCTTTACTCAAAATTGTCAAAAATGAAAAAAACCCCAAAATCTTCAGATTGAAAAACTATAATTTCTAAATAGGAAATAGCCAATTGGAATTTAAGCTATATTTAATATAGAAATATTTAATTTTTTAGATTAAAGTCAACTTTAAGATGATGACTATAAATTTTTTTCCCTTCTCAAACATATGTTCCCCTCAAAAAAAGTCCAGGCTATCACACCCATACATTTCCTGATTAGCATGAAGGGCAAGATTTTTGTACTGCTGAAGTGAATAAATGTTTAGCCATTGATTTCAAGGGCTGCACAACTTCATCTTAGATATTTTTTCACCTGGTTTCAGCACATAATATATCACAAATTTGTATTTTTCTTCCCACCCACTTGTCCACTGCCCTCATTCCTGTTTTTGCCCTCCAGAAGCCCAGGTGTGTGCTGTTTCCATGGCCCATTAACATTGTCATCACATAAACCTCCCTGCTCATCCGTTATCTCACGGACTGCCGGTACTGCAGGTACCCAGGTGCTGATTTCTTTCTGCAATCCCTGCAGCTGCTGCAGTGACATTTATTGGAGAGCCTATGAGTTTTAACCCTTTTCTTCCTTTTCACTAGTCTTAATGGGAAGAAAGAGCTGACCCACACCTGCCAGCCTCGGCAGACACAAAAGCATTCATCTACCCACCTCACACAACTCCTAATCTGAGTCTTATAATACCTACAAAACTCAAACAGTACCATCACCTTTCATCTCTGTTTTCTACCTGCTTCCTCTTTGCTTCATGCTCTGTCCCTCCTCATTGCCACCTGTTTTGATTCAGATGCCCAGCATCGAGGCATCATGATAGAGGAGTATGATCTATACACTGACACTGATATTACCTATATATGGAGATCTCCTAACTGTGGATATCACAGAACCACTTAGGTTGGAGAAGACCATTGAAATCATCAAATAATGGAGCGCTTTCTGCTCCAACCTCTGAGCTGGGTCATCTGTGCTTGCATAACCACCTCTGTCAGTTATCAGTTTCTCGAGGAAATGGTTTCACTTCTTTATGCATCTATAAACTGCTTTTTGTTACCATAATAGGTTTTTCAGTGGCACAAATGGAAAAAACAGTCACTCATCTCCCAACTATAACTGGTTTTAAATAGGAAAAAAAAACAATTCCAGAGAATTAGAAAATTCTCTGGAGAATTGTATTTTTAAAGAAGATTGTACAGAAGATTGTATTTTTAAAAAATGGTTCAAAAAAAAGTATTTAACATTTATAACTGCAGACAATTCATATGCTGTTAGAAAAGGTACATGAGCTAATAACCATAGTGATCTCTCCATACAGAGAGGCCATCTACCATAAACTATGTGGTGCCTGACATACAGATTTTGTCAATCTGGTCTCTGACTGCTAAAAAATGTTCTCTCTGGCCTCAGTTTTCAAATCAGTACATTTTTGGTTCAAGTTAAAGCAATTGTAAAAATCTCCAAATAACCATCTATGTTCCCTATCTGAGGTCTTGATGGGAGAACAGAAAGAAAAGGGCTACCAGCTTTCCAAAATGTATGTTTTATTTAGTTAGGTGATAGTTAATAGTATTCCTATCCTTATGGGTCCCTTTCAACTTGGTATATTCTGTGATTTTTATTACATCAAAAATAATGCTGCTGGTGTTTTACTCTTTTAATAATTTTAACATGAAGTTAGAAAACTATCTTGTACAAAGATTCCTGGTTCATTATTCACCATTAGGGAGAAACAAATGCTCAAGTTCTCAAAGAAAATATGTCTTTTTCTACATATGAGTATTGAAATCACTTTGTTTGCTTTCCCAGACTGAGATGCATAATCTCCAGAGACCTGAGCCTGATACATTCTCTTTTATAGCAAGAGGGATCCAGGTCAAGCTGCCCTGAAGACATCAGCTGTGACTGTACGGCGGATACTTGCTAAAATGCATGAATTTTTAAACTCTAGGGCTATGGAATTCCCAGGATTCCTAAAAGTCATCAGCATTCATATGAGTGCATTCTGACGGTTCACAAAATGCTCATACACATTCACATGACTGTGGACTTCTGTGCAAATTGAGAGAGCAGTACATATTCATAAGATAACTCCCATGACAGGCTAGAGAGTGGAGAAGCACCAATTGTATTATTTAGGGACATGATACAATAACAGGGGTCATTTTTTGAAAACCTGGCTATCAGTCTACGGTATCATAAGTGCCGAGTGCGTGGATAAACTACCATAAATTTCTGTCATCCCTGCAAAAACACTATTCCCAGAAAAACACAGCAATTACAGTGTTTCAATAACAGCAGTTATTGAAAGCTTTTATATTAAGACTGAAGGTGAAAGGAATGATTTTTTTTTTGTTTACTTTATAAGATGCCTTAGTAAGGTTTAAAAAACAACTATAGAGCATATTCTCTTGAGGAGGGTGGGCAGGGAGAGGAAAAGACAGGATACAACCGGGTAACTTAGATCCAGAATCTATCTTTACATCATTCAGTCCAGTTGCTCACATGAAGATCATCCTGTTTTCTTTCATTTTTTTTTTCTAATTAAATTTTCAAATATACAGGCTAAAGAGACAAAATGCTTCCTCATTGTAGCAATCCACCCATGACAGCATCTAATTCTGGCTTTATCCAAAAATTTACCAGAAGCTTCATAATTTTTTTCCCCACCTTTGTGGTTGTGAAAATCTGGAGTAAGTGAAGTCTGGTTTTTCCTACTTAGAGTACCCAGAACGAAGCAGACAAAGTTCACAAACACTTAGAGAAAAAGGGTATCTCGTTTCTGCAGACACTTGGATGTCACAGCTCTAGGATTTACGTGGTTGGACCAAGGTATACCAGGCTGGGTACAAGGGTGAGACTCCTTTGAGCACAAAGTAAAATACCAGTGTAATTCAGTGTGACAAGATCCCAAAGAGCCCGAAGTAGGTGTCAATCACCCTCTATCTGTTATTATTATTCAAGTAATTAATCACAATTGTGTGTGGTGTAATCTGGATAATGAACTGACTGCACTAATGCCATTTATGTTTAGATACATTGGTTATAGTAATACAAAATAAAAGTTCAATGTAGTCAAGGACTTTCTATTCAGGATACAACATCATCTTAATGGCAACAGTCAGTTTATTGGCCTTATTTTTATTCAAGTAAATTCCTCTATTGCACTTTAATTAACTACTATGGCTTGTTTCTATGTAGCATTAAAACAGGAAATAATTGCAGCCGGCTTCACACTAGGGTTTACTATTACCTCCAAGGAAATGAGGACAATCAATATTCTAGGGAGGACAGGTACTGAAACTGCCTCCTGAACAACCTACAGATCGATAACCATGATAGAAAATGGAAGGGAGATTTGCATTTGAAGGAATCCCAAGGAGATCCCAGAGGAAGGAATCAAATATAAAGACAAATGGGTATTTTCTATAACTGTTCATTTGTGACTGAACCCCACGTCATGAGGACCTGTGAACTTAACCAAATGGTTAGGCAGGTGTGTCAGCAGCTGGTTGTCTACCACCAAGAAGATTTTGGGATAAGTAGATATAAATTTGATACTTTTCTTGTTTCTTTACCAGTGGAACGGCAATTACAATCACATGTTTTATTTGTAACTTGTGAATAAATGGCATTAATCTACTTGTTATTGAAGCCTGATTTGTATTATGGGCAAGTCCAGTACAACCACTAAATAAGAATACTCAGTGGGAGTAAAGGACTGTTCCAGGGATACTCTGTTCCAGGGGTTTCTGTAATATTTCACTCAGCTACAGAAAACATAGTAAACTTTAATATTAACAAATTAATGTATTAAACAATCACTTTCCAGAATCACCTGGGAAAGATCTCTTCTAGCAGCTGGACAGCGGGGAGAGTCCCCATGTTCAAGCATTCCTGGGGAATGCAGGGAAGATGTGGGATCACTTCCACGTGCATCTTCTCAGACACAAGTTGGAAAAACAGCCTACACTGAGGACTTATCCTCCATTTCACCTTAACTAACTGGCCAAAGTGGGACACACGCATCTTAGTGAGTCTAAGATGTGTGTGTCTAAGAGTCTAAGAAAGGGAGCAACAGCCAATTTGTTAGCAAAGCCAAAGGAAACAGCCACCTTCCTCTTGTGTAGGGCTGGTGTTGAGCTTTAGTTGGCACAATTCATGTAGCAATCATTGACAGAGAAAGCATAAACTCATAAAATTATATCGGTCTCCCACTAACTGGGATATAGAAACAACAGTAAGCAAAGTAACTTTCTATAACTTCCAGATTTCAAGGGGGAAAAAGGCAAGTTATTAAATATTACTAAATTCTCCATTGAAATTATTCATTGTCTCATATGGCCACTAACTACATCTGACTTTCTTACTGTTACCATTTTCTAAACATGAGCATGTATTTTAATTTTGCTTTACAGGAGAAGAAAAATGGTGAAAGCTTTATCTAAGTCTAGCCAATCCAGAATACCTGAGAAATCATGTGAATTCTGAGAAAGAGAGGAGTTGCATGAATCAGAAGGGCGCAGAAAATGTGTGTATGTAAAATTCACTTATATGTAGGTGCTATAAAATACAATGCAAAATGCTAAGAGTGCTTAGGAAATTGTAGCTTCCTGAATTGGGTTTTATTATACTCATATGAATTTGTCGTTGTTGTTGTTTAAAAATAATAAAAGTTATGTTTTTCCCTTTCTGAATTGTAGCCTTTTCAGGCCATGTGGTTTCAGGGATGATCACAGACCAGAAGGTGAGCATTTTTACTTGTATTGTTTTCCTTACTCAGAGCCATGTTATCCATGATACTCCAAGGAAATTCAGCCCCTTGCTCCCTGCACACCCCCATTTACCTCTTTCAAGTCTTGGACGATGGCAGTGAGCCTCTCATTCTCTGCCTGAACATTGGTGACCACCGCCCTGCTCTGTTTGAGCTCATTCTGCATCTCCAAAATCTTCCCAAGGTAATAAGCTTCTTTTGATGCAGATTCCTGGAGCAGAGTCTCCTCCCGTGTCTCTCCATCCTCAGCCACTTTGCGGTGAACGGAGAAGGACTGTCCAAACGCCTGCAAGAGGAAAACAGCGCACAGTGAAACAACTACTGAAGCCCTGGAAAAATTATCAACAGTAACAAGCAGCTGCAGAGCCAGCGGGAAGAAAACAGATCTGCAAGTCCCAAACTCTGACCTAATAAATACTGCCTTAGCAGCCTCCTAGCAGCTGAGGGCCACCATCTCATTTAGCTGAAATGAAGCATCTTGGAGCTGGTCTCATTTGCGGTATGGATTTATGGCCCCCATCCAGGCGACCTCCACTGAGATCAAGATGGTGCTCTGCTAACTAGCCATTAATTAGCACCAGTGTTTAACTCTCCTGCGTGAGGCCAGCCGATAATTCATCAACTCCTTTCTTCCCCAGTTCTGCAAAATAAACGCCTGGTTTGTGTTGTTTTAAAGAGCATAAATAGCTGACAAATCTTTCTTAATTGTTTTCCATTTCCAACAACCTTTTATTATAGGAACTGATATCATGGTATGGAGAAAAGCTCCTGCAACCTGAAAGAAAGATAAATGAGTACCAAGCAGTGGCCATCTACACCCCTGGTATGCTAAGCACACAGTTTGTCAGCCCCTTCATTTCATTTGTGCTCAGTGTTTTCTGCTGAGAAGAAACAATATTTAGTGTTCAAGATGTGTCTAAATATATAGATAATTTCTAGTGATTCTCTTCTTGCTACTGGCTGGGACTGATCAATTTAATAAGGCAGTATTTCTCAGTGACAATTTCTGATGTTATTTTTGACAGCTCCGGAGCAACCTGAAAGGATGCAAAGAACAAGCCATGACAGTAGACACGATGGAGATACCATTTAGCTATGAAACACAGAGGGGAAAACCCAGCAATAATATAATAACATAAAAAATAATGTAATAAAACAAAATAATATACACACAAAAATAAAATAAAAATAAAATAATACAAAAAGTAAAATAAAACAAACCCTTATTTGATTGTATTACCTTTAAAAATAGACATTTAGCTGAAAGTGACATGACCTAATTCTGGAAAAAGCCAAAAGAAGGTATCTAATGTTAACAATATTTGGCCCAACATAGGCAGAAGTTGTATCATACATCTTAATTCAAAGTGAACACATTTGAAAGACCATGACTTTTATTTTTTTCCCTAATGCATGAGAGAAAGATTTAAGTCACAATAATATGTTATTTCAGCAAAAAATTATCCCTAAAAGCCTGATTTCTACTCAGTTCTATGAAACCACAAAGCAGAGTACACACTTGTACCCACTGTTAACTGTGGCCTTCTTTGCCTGCCTATCGATAAGACCTACTTGCCAAATTAAATCCATTGTTTTACTGCTGCTATTTAGAGCCTTTCAGAACACATTCTAAGTTTTACTGGCACTATAAGTGAAGCAGCCCCTTAAAAACTTCAAAGTAAAACCCTCTTCAAAAACTTCTGTGCTTTAAAGTCTACTTCACTTAGAGAATCCTGTGAACTCAGCATTAAAGGATGCTAAAAATACTCAATAATGTATTAACCCAGCTGTCTTCTCGAAAGACAGTAAGTTACTGAAATAGCAGGCGTCAGCAACTTGCCAAATAGGATTTTCCAAATAACAAGAAATTCAATTTAATGAAACTGTTAAGCACTGGTTCAGTCACTATATCTGTACATCTAAGATGACTGTCTCAGGAGGGCTGCTAATAAATTATATCTTACTTTACATACTTATACGCAACGGCTCACTGCTCCTAATTTGAGATAGAGCAGAAAGCACCAGGCCAATGATGACCCTACACGGCAAATGTAAAGGCCACTGACCCTGGGGTAAAATCAAAATACAGCAGAAGAGCAGGTAGGACTAAGAGGGATGGAGAAGTTCATGCATAAATGGGACCTGAAGTCCTCCCTACCACTTAACTATAGATAAATACCAGTGCACAGTGATGACAGCCTTCCAGGTGCATACTGTATTTTCCTCAAATGTATTTTGAAGGTGCATTTGTAGCAGATGTGATATTTAGAATGGCAGTGAATACAGATTCTGTGGAGGGTGCACAGCATAATGGAAAATTACTGCATACTTTACGTTCCATTGTGCCTATGACTACAGAAAATAAACTTTTTCTTTTTCCTATGAATCCAAATTTGAACATTACTGTTTATCATACTATTCAATTTCTTTCTTAAACTGCTATCAATATGTTCCAAATCAGGGGAAAGAAAGCAAGGAAGTATAGTTTGCTTTCCATATTGTTGGAAATTATGCAGATCCATGCAAACAAGGAGAGAAATATGAGATGTCTTTTAATATAAAGCAAGCAAAAAGTTCTGCTTCTGTATTTCATGGTCTGTATAGAACATCAAAAACTTTAAACTGTCCAGACATACCCACTTAAGGCCTTGCATGAGACTGACCACTTTTAAATTAAAGCATATATCAATTCAGCTGGTAGCCAAATATTTGTTCTATTTTGATTTTATGTTTTAATAATTTGTTTGATACATTTACTTATTTCTGAAACCTTATAATCTCGCTATGATATAAATATTCCAATTAACTGTGCTCACTTATTTCACTGAAGTCACCCCCACAGTAGAAGAAGTTTACAGGTCATCTAACTTTACAACAGGCACAACGATTGCCCTCCAACAACAAATGGTTTCCAGACCTGAATGGGACAAAACACCTCACACATTACAGCCCAGACACCACACAGCCAACAGCATGAACAGACTGCAGCTGGGGAGAGCTGGAACAGCCCCCTCCAGCCTTCACAATCCCCTCCTGAACACGTTGGACATTAAAGAGTCAAAATGTTCCCAGGAGATGGGAAATCCATATCAGCAAAATCCAGTAATGGACAAGATGGGAACTGGAGGAGCATTTGGCACAGAGGCATTCATTTGTGAGAAGCGCATGTAACTGGCATTGGCATCAAGCATGGAAGAAGGAAGCAGCAGATGAAGCTCAAAACAGAAGAGGCTGACAACCTGGACTGCAAGATAAAGACAGTTCACTTGCATTTGGGTCAATTATTGGATAAAAACTGGTATGTTTGCAGATGTCTGCAGATGCAGATGTTCCCTGCATTCACCATTGTATAAGATACTGGTATTTCCATAGAATCATACAATGGTTCGGGTTGGAAGGGACCTTAAAGATCATCCAGTTCTGACCCCTCTGCCTCTAAACCAGGTTGCTCATTTTGTTCAGATATTTATAGCCAGGGTAAAGAGTTTGGCTCCTGAAGAGATGCTGTTCCTGCCTAAAAGTACTTGTTACTTATAATTAGTACCACAGCAGCTTCTCCCTCAGTCAAATTTCAGGTGATGTCAGGACAACAAAAGCAGGGACAGGCTCTTCCACACTATTTCATCTTTTCAAATGGATTAGGACAAGTATGTCAACGTGTCATACAGAGTTCTCTGACCTAGTCTTCGAGAAAGTAATCAGGAAAGCAAAGAACTATGGGTGTAGATGCAGGAACAGTGCCCAAATTGCCTGTGTGATTTCTATGAAGTATTCCAGGTAGGTGCTGTACTATATTGGGCAGCTGTGTCAGTTATTTACCACTGTTGTTTTCAGCATGGTGCTGCCATGCTTGGTATGATTCCTCATTAAAACCACTTAAAAATCACTACTGGTCCCTTAGTGGCTCTTAGTTTCAGTAATCACAGTGTGGAGCTTTTCCAGCATAGGACATCATTTTCCAGATTCAAGTTTGGACTCAGAAAGGGCCGTGTAAACCTCTATGGCCTCTGCTTCCTTGAGAAACCTGCTCCTAGTGCAGACACAATAGCTTAAATCAGCTGCAAAGACTGAGGCACATTTACTGTTTTGACAAAGACTGTCCTAACAGAGATCAGTCTGAATTTCATCCTACACAGGTATTGTCACTTCTCTTAAAATTTTGCTTAAAAAGATGTTCTTGTCTGAGTGAGGTGATACTTTTTTGTAAGTTGGTCATAAAAGCTGAGTAACAAGATGCCATTAAACGTTGTATACATATTCTGAGACCTGAGAATTGTAACAGCATCCTGACTTTTTAGAGGCATCTTAAAATTTGAACTTTGAGAACGATAAAATAATCATCAGCATGAGGTCATGACAAAGAATGGCAACAGTGGGCACACACAGGGAAAATGTCAGTCTGACCACGGAGAAAAGTGCAACCTTTGAGGAAAAAGCCATTTACCACTGAACTCTAAATAACCCCAGATGGAAATTCCAGTGTCAGAAGCAAACTAGCACGACAGAAATAATGCTGTGAACAAAATGGGCACAGATTTGTAAAAGAACAATAGAAAAATGACTGTTCCAGACAACATGTCATATTTATATGCAAATATAAATAGCAGTAGAAAGCAAATATTCAGCGAGTGACATGAAATTATGTCTGTAAAACAAAAATTATATTTAACACTTTAAAAAAAAAAGGAAAAAGAGAAGCTAGATTTCTAATTTAGGTGTAGAAAGCAGCACATATGCACATATCAGTTATAAACATAAGTAGGTAATGAAGAATGCTATTTCTGAGTTTCACTTTTATTTTTACTAGCCACCTCCTGGGACAGGAATTCTGAAGTGTTTGCATAGAAATTAATTCTTCTAGTCTGTGATGATTAATAAGAAATAAAACATGACCTGACTGCTATCAGAAAGAGGCACCCTGCCTTTATGGCTTTGACACTTAACGTAGTTTTTCTGATGCATAATGCAACAGCATCGAATTGTTCCAATGATCGCCTATTTCAGCTGCTAACTTGCTGCAAAGCAGAATGTATTATGTATTAGTTACCTCCACATTCCTAACACAAAAGCAGGGAAAAACCAGCCTGGGATTATCCAAGAGGGTACCATATTTCCTAGTCAAATGTCAGTATGACACCACAGATGGAAATCTTTGCTAGAGATGTAAGGGGTTGAGGTCAGGGACAGGTCTTGTATTTTATGGCAAAACTGGAATGCCCACTTATCACTGAATATGCCCTTAGTCATTTGCAATTCCATGCCTCTCAGAGAAGATGAGGGGTTTTAAGCTTTTATACTTAAAAAAAAAATTCACAATTGTATAAATTTTAGTTTTCTTTTTCACAATTCATTAACCAAAGCTCAGAGTTCTTTGAAATTTTTCTGCTAAGGAGCAATCAGTGGCAGACAGGTCTGCAAGGGAATCCCCTCTGGACAAGACCAAGCAGGGGAATGAGTGGTTGAGCAGGTTCTAGCCCTTCCCTCAAAATCAGCTGGTACAAAACTGCCCCCTCCATAAGACATGATGTGTCTCCATTCAGACATTATTTCCTTAACTTATCTCCAGTATTTTATACCCTGCTCACCTGAAGGCTGATGAAATCAACCTGTGTGTACCAGTTTTTTTGCTAGCAAATCCAACCCAGACTTCAGCCTAACTGGTAATCTCTCTCTCCAAGGGCTGTCTTACAGGTGTATGCTCAATGCTCAGTTCTGGTCACTTGGTTGTTTGTCATTCCCTGCTCCCTTCACACTCTGGGTGCACAGATTGTCCAGTGTCTTGGACAAGGACTGCATTTTACTCTTGAAGAACACAGGAGGAGGCACCGAGTCTAAGCCCATTGTGTTTCTTGGCAGTGCAACAGCAAATAATGCCTTTGCAGAGGTGACTGATGGGCTCCAGTCATATTATATCTGCTTTCTTAAAACATGGGAAAGTTTTAGGCCTCTAAAACCTTTTCATAATTTAGGTTAAATCTTCATGCAGTTGACATGACCTCCTGATGGTCATTTAAGATGGCTGAGAGAAGGCAATAGTTTTCCTTTTGGAACCCAATACTGAAGTGATTAAAGCCTTCAAATGCAAATACCAGGCATACTGCAATCAAAACACAGGCAGATGCAAGCTTAATGATGACAGAGAAAAAAATTAATAGGTATTGTGTGGATAGTGCATCTGAGATGGACAGCCCATGCAGGGAAGCAGATTGAAAAGTCAAAAACAGATTGAGAACACAGCCTGAATCAGCATGGGCATACAAGCAAGAAAACTAGATCATGAACTTTTGGGTTGACAAGCTATTCGAAAACAGCTTGATATTTTACAGCTAGGAAAGTGTCCCATTTGTCTAATTGCTCCTGTGTTCAAGAAAGCAGGATGTGGAACTCTCCTACAGAGAGGCAGAAGATACAAAGATGTTCAACCCCATCACTATTTTATCTTTCAGCTGAGAGCAACAAAGAAGGTTCCTAGAGTTAACCAGTCCCCCAGTTAAGAGAAATATGAGATAACTGATCAAAATTCCACTGTACCCAAGCAACTGGCTAAGCACTGGTCATTTCAAAATTTCCAGACTCAAGATGATCAGTTTTATGATCTATGGAACAAAACATGAACAGGATTTGTGTGTGTTTGTTTGGGGTTTAATTTTTTTAAAGTAACAACATACCTTTTACTTCATATGCCCCATCTTGCAGAAAAAAAAATTAAATGTTTTGTACTCTGTTTGAAGCAAGCTAACAAACTAGATTTTCCTTATTTTTTTCTCATGCAATCAGTCTGCCTTTTGAAAATGGTGAAAATTAAACTTCAAAAGACAGGTTTTTTCAATTCATGCTTTGCTAGAGACACTTGATGTGACCTTAAGCAAAGTACTCCTCAACTTCCCATTTGCAAAAATGTAGAGGACAGTATCTGCTATGTAGTGGAAAGGGCGTTATGATAGATCCATTCATGACCTGAAATAAAATGTCCTGTAGTTATGACAGGACAAGAAGAAGTGGCCTCAAGCTGTGCTGGTGGAGGTTCAGATTGGACAGGCAATGGAATGGGCTGCCCAGGGAGGTGGTGAATCACCATCCCTAGAGGTATTCCAGAAATGACTGGACGTGGCACTTAGTGCTATGGTTTAGTTGGCAAGGGGGTGTTTGTTCAAAGGTTGGACTCAATCTTACAGACCTTTTCCAACCTTAATGATTCTATGAGCATAGTACAGTAACTGATAAACCTATAAATGCTACTTGAAGAAGCTATTTTATTGCCACCTAAAGGTAGAAAGCATTTAACTTTATTTCCAAACACCAGCTTACTTAATCAATTCAATAATAATGCAAATGCTGGTG